AATTAAGTATATATAGAAAAATTTTAGTAACCCGTAGGTACCAGAAATTGAGAGAGAAAAGGCAAGAAAGAAAAGAGAGGAAGAAAAACGTGAGGAGAGAAAGGAAAGGAAAGAAAAAGAGCTAAGAAAACTATAATCAACCCTAAAAGAGGTAAGTAGGTTTCATTTCTTGGCTGATTAATGTCTTAAATTATTATTTTTAAGTTATTTTGTTAGTGTTTATTTCATGGGTTGTAATAATCTTCAATGATTATATGCTTGATGCTTGGGATAAATCTATGTATGGATGCCTTGTTGTGATGATTTATGATGTTATGATTTTTTGAAAAATGTCCAAGTATGTGGTGATGGATTGGATTGAACTTGGACTAAATTTAAGTGAACTAAAACATGTTTAAAATTGACTAGGAATGAACTAATAAATTAGTGTTAATAAGGAGTAAATTCTGTCCGAATTTTGGGGTGTCTGTTCAAGGATTTTAGATCGATTTCTAGGTGAAACTTAAAGCATAAACGTTGTTCATCTGTGTTTCAACTAACTTCCTTTAAAATTTCTTGGTCATTGGATTCGTGTACAAAGAGTTACACCCGATTTAGTATGGATAGCTCTAGATAAACTACTATTAGGCAGATTGCTCCCTAAGTTTCAAAAATTCGTAATTAATTGTGTACTTGGTATTTAGACCTAATTTTTGGATATGTTATAAATAAATATGTCTAGTATCTAAAATAAAATGAGTAAGATTTAATTATGTTCTGAAATTAGAAAATTATTTACTCGATTATGAGTTGCCCGGTAATAAATCATAAAACCAAAAAAATTAGACTTTGACAAAATTAATTTGTTTGGAATAAACTAAATGAGCTTGGACTAAATAAAATGGAATTAAATAGAGTCAATGGACCTAGGATAAAGGATAAATTTAATGGGCTCGGATTAAAGTAAATGGACTTGGACCTTCTTTTAAATATTAATAAAACTAATGAACAATATCAATGAGCGGAGATTGTGTTCCCTCTGTGGGTATCATGATTGGTATGTGAGCAATGGATAAATTCCGAGTGTGGGTTGGATCGTGAGTATGGCATGAGAATGAAGGGTTGGTATCCGAATTTGGTTGAATGTGATTAAATATGTCATCACGTGCATCATGTGCATAGTGAGTGGTTTAAGACAAGTCAATTGATTGAGAAATGATTTATACATCTAGGTTTGATAACCTAACTGGAATAAATGGGTATTAGTAGTCCAAGTACTCTAGGATGTGTGCTCGCACTATTAGACGATAGATTTTCGCTAATAGTAGTTACAACGAGGGATAATTCCGTTGTAGCAGAAGATGATCCGAGGATCATCTAGATGAAATCAAGTTGTGTGCTTGCACTCTGTTAGACGATGGATTTTTGCTAACGTAGTTACAACGAGGGATAATTCCGTTGTAGCGAGAAGGTGATATGCGGACCACCCGGATGATAAATAGAGTAAACCGGCTAATACCCGTGGTACCCGAGATTAAAATTTATGAGTATGGTGGGAAGTCAAAACAACATTGCATATCACGTGCATCACCCCGCTTACCGAGCTTCGGCTCACCTCGTTGTTATTTTTTTTATGTCTTGACGAGAAAAGGACAAGTTGGTACGGATGCGGTCGGCTCCTCCTAACCGGCTCATGTGAGGCACCATATATTAGTTTTTATTTTGTCTCGTAAATTTGGGGTATGGAGTTCGTGAGAAATTGAATATCGCCTCGTAATGTTTTATTAATGTATTTAATTATATTATGTAAATTTTTATCTTAAGGAGTTATATACGTAATGTACTCGTTAAAGTTATAAGAATATCATAAGAACACTACTTAGAGTTTAAGGTATGTCGGCGTAACGCGTTTCGTCCAAGTAGCTTACTTGGGTAGTAGAAATATGATTGGGGCGGGGCGTTACACGTATGGTGGAAAAATTTCGGTGGGGTCAAAGGGGTTCGGAACCAAAGCTTTATTGATTAGTTAGAATAATCTTTGCAAGCTGAAACAATTTGGAAGGGAATTGGTTTCACATATCGCTAGAAGTGCTTGAGTTAAGGGAGTAAATAATAATTTTTAAAACTAAATGGATTAATTAATTTGTTTCTTAAACAAATATGGACTAATTTATAATATACTGAAATTTGTAAATGAAATGGTATATACCATGCACATGCCATGCCAGCAAAATAGGGATGACACAAAAGTCAAAGGCGTAAATGCTAGCTGATCCTTGCCTACCCTCCATTGGAACCGCCACTCCCTTGGTTCACACGGGCCACTAGTGGACGGTGACATCACCCACTTTAATTTGATTTCTTCTGTTGTTGCTTTGAGCCCAATGTTCAATAAAAAGATTTCTTGATTGGCCCAACAGAACTTTGGGCACAGGGCAAGTGATCCAACAAAAATTTGGGCTCTGATTTAAGCATTTGGGCTTCTCGTGCTTTCATTTGGGCATTTAACATATTTTTCTTTTGGACTCTTTTGTCAATCAAATGATTGAATGCATCGAAAGGAAGCTGAAAGTAGATTCTCCAAATCCCGACAGGAAAGGCCTAATGGCAGCCAGATGGCCGCCTCTCTAGAGGTAGGGTTTCTCGGCAGGAAAAGACGTCTTAGGATTCATTAGGAAAAAAAAATAAATAAATTCTGTCCAGTAAGAGCTCCGGTAGTACACTGGTAAACAACTATTGACTTGCAGGTTTAAGATTTGATATTTGTGGTTAGTAATCTTAAAAATTTATTATCAGAATACCTCAACTTATATGTTAAGAAGTGTAGTAATTTATATAATTTTTAATTTTATACAATTGTATCTGTAATTTATGCAATTAAATTCTATACACATAATTAATTTCGCGCACTTTTGAAAAATAATTTATTTTCATAATAAATTCATACATTAACTATAGTAATTTATTTATCAATCACATAATTTTTATACACTTATCTAGGCACTCAAAATAATTATTTTGCATAAAAATACACCATTCATACGCAAAAAAGTCAATAAAACGTTCATCGAACACAAAAAATTCACTTAAGTGCACTGAATATTCTAACACCCCTATAGCGGTTTTTCTATGCACACAAGGAAATTTTTACACATGTTTAATACACACACACACATATATTTATAGGTTCGGGAGATTACATAACATCTAAAACTCTATCTCGTTTGAACTTTGACTATCCACTTATTAGCCACCTGACTCGTATCTTATTAGTATTACCTCGATTCTCCTTTCATATCTTTCATTATTTGCATTTTTTATATTTGGATGATTGATCGTTGCTTTTATAAGTTACAAAATTAACTTTTTACATCTTTATTGGCATACCGACTAATCGTTCGTTAATTTCTCAAGAACCTCTTTGCGCTCTTTAATTATAATGAATCAAATTGTGAAATTAACATAAATTGACAATGACAAAAAAAAAAAAAAAAGGGTTATACCGCTCGAATATTAGGGTTTTTGCTGCTTTTTAGATATGGCAGCAAATATTGACTTCTATTTTTTACTTTCATTTCCCTTTTCATTTTTACACGGCTGCCAATCTATTGCCATTTATGAGCAATATGAATTTATTTTCCTTGTCTACTAGTATCTATTTTGGAGATATCTTAATGAGTTAATTGTAACTAAGTCTTTCTGATTTATTAAAAAAAACTAATTAAATAGTCTTGATAGTATTGATTGTATTTAATTTGATAATATTTTGTTTCAAAAAACATATTTTTTTCTCGTCAATTTTTCCATTCAATCTACTTCTGTTCTTGTTTTTTTTTTCTATTACTTAAAATAAAAAAATAAAATACAAAAAATATCAAGTTGTAAATGTTTTTTAAACCACGAGAACTACTTAATTAGTTTTGCTAAACTACAAGAATTAAATTATAATTAACTCATATTTTGCTTAATAGTTTATTTCTTCACGAATAAAAGTGTTTTGTTAAAAATATTTTTTATTTGAAAAAAAATCAAATTTGAGAATTTTCCTACAATAGTTTTTATTTGTTATCTCAATATGATTTAGTTGGAAACTCTACCAACTACGCAGCAACACGAATATATATATATATTTGTCAAGATAAAAGAAGGAAAAAAAACATTTGAATTAAAAAAAATTTTGTTTCTATCTCGATAATCTTCTTTAATTTTATTTTATTTTTATCTTATGCTCAAGTGTTTAATTAATTGGACCAGTATATAAGCTTTTCAAATAAAAATCAAATGTGAAACGCATGCTAAGAGCCTTTCCAATTAAATTTTGATGCTCCCCTTTTCATGATAAATGCATTCAATTCAATCTGTACATATTAAGTTGAAATGAGAAATGAGAAACCCTAAATAAATTCCGTATGAAGGAGTAAATTATAAATTAGTCCTTTTAGCTTTCCAAAAAGAATTAAATAATCCTTCTAGTTTCAATAACTAATTAATTAATTTTTATATTTTTAAATTTATTCCTATCCTTTTTTTTGTTTTATTTTTTTTAAATTACTAAATAGAAAGAAAAAATATTAAAAAATTAAATTAATCATGATCAATATTAGAGAAATAACTAATTAATTAATTTTTAAAGTAACAGAAGTTATTTAATTATTTTCTAAAACTAGAGGTACGAACTTGTTATTTACTCCAACATGAAGCAAAAGCCATCTTTCCACGTTTGCTCCCCCCCCCCCCCCCGGCCCTCGCTGGACCCCACCACCAAAAAAAAAAAAAAATCAATCAACCACTTAAAAAGAAAAAACGAAACAAAACAAAAAATGGAAAGTGGGAAGCTAAGAGAAGCTAACCATCGTATTGTCAACACCACAGACAATCTCGCTTATATAGTAACCCTCAGCCTCCATTCCCACCTCTCTCCCCCTTTTTTTTACGCTTAACCCCCTCTCTCTCTCTACAAACTCTAATTTCTCTCTCTATAACCACTGAACGGGAAGCAGAGAAGAGGTTACGAGAACAATATGGCTGAAGAAGACGAGTGGGTTAAAGTAGCTATGGACGATGACAGTTTAGTGGTGGAGCTGCTTTTAAAGCTAAACCAACCAGAACAACAACAACAACAACAACAACAACTACAACCACGGGCACCAGGACTACGGCGACGAAGACGACGTCGTCGTTTTGCGGGGGATTTGGTGAAAGAAGGAGCGGTGCTGGCTTTGAGTGTGGACTGGAGCGTGAGACAACGACGCTCGTCGTCTAAGCAAGTAATGATGACGAGGAGGAAAAAAGGTTCTGATTCGTCTACTCGTGCTAGTCCTACCACTCCGCTTTCATTTAGCGGTGGCACCTCCGTCAGCGGTGGTGGTGGCGGCGACGGTTTTGATGAAGCTACTACTAGTGCTAGTCTTCCTGTTAAGTTGACTGCCACCTCGAGATCTAAGGTTTGTTTGGCTCTTTTTTCTCTTTTTGGTTTTCTGACTTGGTGAGTTGGACTCGGTGGTTTTGGTTCTGGTGTCATTCTTTTGTTTCTTTTAAGTGGACGAAATTGCCCTTCGAAGAAACGTGATATTTATTCACTTTCGGTTACGGTTTTGGAAGTTTTTATAGTTTTTTCTTTTTCTTTTAAATAACGATTTTGCCCAAATTGCATGGTATCCTTCGCGGATTAGACACTAGGATCTGTAAATTCTCCGGTCAACAGAGACACCGTTCAACTCGTTTTGACTGAAATGCCCTTCTCTGACTTTCAATTTCTACTCTTAAAAAATATTTTCGTGTCACTAGAAATACGTGACTTCTGCTCGCATTTGGGTCGGTTTTTAACAGGACGAAAACACCCTTGTGTTGGAGGGCATTTTTGTCCAAGAGTTTGCTTCCGGAATCCAATTTAGTTTTGGGTGTAGTAACTAACCATAGACGTAGAGGGATGGATATACATACGCATTGATTGGATACGGATATTGTAAATGACAAAACTGGGCTCACAGGGAGTCGAACTCAGCACTTTATGTGGCTCTTCGTTGAAGGGCAGTTTGGTCATCATAGAAAGTGGAGACAGCAGGAGCAGCTGTTTTTATGGGTGGCGTGTTTTCGTGGCAAAATAGGCGTGATCTTGTTGGTGGTTGTGTGCACTTTATTGGAGAAATGATTTGGTGTGTGTGGCCGCAGTTTTCCACTTCCTGCGGGCGCTAAAACAGAACTCTTGTTCTTTTGGCACGTGACAGACACACAGCAATATCGGTGCTGAAAATTGTTGATTGGGTTGTGGGTTTTGTAGCAAGTGACAGGCTGTTTTTTTAGCTTTTTTTTTTTTTTTTTAGGTCTGGTGGGGGGTCTAAAAAGGGTAAGAATTTCTTGGTCAAATAAATGTCTTTCAAAATGAAAATGAAAAATCCTTTGGTTGAAATGAAGGGAAATGTGTAATGCTTTTGGGTGGCAAATTGGTTGGGCTTATGGTAGGGACCACCGTTGCACCAAATTTATGGTATATAGTCTGACCTGTTAGGCTGACTTTAGCATTTGGTATATTTATATACCTAACTCTTCGCGTACCATTATCCCAATTGGAGAAATAAAATAGTCACTACTACTCTTTCCTTTTCTTTTTTTTTTTTTTTTTTGGTAAATAACCACTTAGTCAGGATATTTTCTAGTTTAGCATTATAATTTTTTTTTATTAAATATTTTCGAGACAATTTTTTGGTAGGGTTCATATTAGAAAACGATGGTATTTGATTCCTCGTGCATCGCATGCGACCTTAACCAGGCTGCTAAGAGGCAAATAACCATTGGTTTGACTACGCGGCGTTGACTGAAATTCCAATCATGTTTTCAAGGAACTGTCTCTTTGCTTGGTTTTCTTCCTTCTTGTTTCTTTCCCCTTTTTAGCTTATTCACTTAGCCTTTTTTTTTTTTTTTTTTTGAGGTGAATTATATATGTGACCCATTGATGTTGCATTTTAGGCACTAGAGAAATGTGTTATCTAAAAGCTTGGAGTGGGTCAATGAATTGAATGTGAATGGTCATGGTTGCTGTATGTGCCTGTCTATTTTTCATGACTCTCTTAGTAGCTTCTATTTATTGACCACAATAAATATGTTTTTTGGTCCCACACGCAAAAAAAAAAAAAAAAAAAAAAAAAACACGAGCAAAGTGCCTTGTTGCAAGTGTTTCTTTTATGATCATGATATTCTTGAAATACGGAAAATAATTTTATTCATGTATGTATACTTATGTTATATATGTACATCCTTATGTCTGGATAATATGTAATTTTTATGTATTTTCTTTTTATTTATTAAATGGCTGGCAGAAGATAATCTGTTTGTTAACTAAAGCCGTCCCCATGTTGGTGCATCTATCAGGTTGCTGTTACAAGTGAAACACCAACCATCAAGAGGTCAAGAAAGAAGAAGGTAATGATATATGTTAACTAACGATGACTATGTTCTTCTTAACATAAGCTAGATTTTGGTTCCATAATGGCTAACCAGAGCTCCTTAAGTTTATTATATTGTATAGAATGTGATATATTTATTGGTTTTGTTCAATTTCTTTGTGTGTGTCTTATAATCTGTTTGGTTCTAGAAACCATCTCTGTCTGGCACCTAGTTTTAGTGGTTGAGCTAGCTTTGCACCAACTTTATGTTCATCTATTATCTATTATTAATTGTTTTGCTATCACCCTTAAAAAATTAAAAGTTCAGAATTCAACCGATGTGGTTGGTTCCGTATGTGACAACATTGCTTCTGCTGTCAAGGAATATGCTATCCGGATGTATGATGAAATCAAGAAAATTATGCTTTGCATTGTTTTGTCTGATAGATTTATAGTATTTTAGATTGCCATCTCATGATGGTTTAAATTGTTTGGTTGCTGGCAGACGTTAGTTGAGCTCAGAGAGGAAGAGAGTTTGCTATTGAAGGAAAGAAGACGTTTGAAACATGTATGCTGCATCAATTTCCTATCTTTGAAATCTTGCCTTGCTCTCCTTTATCTTTACTTTACGAGGCATACGATTGGAGATAATTTTAATATTTATCGTGCACTTCATTAATTGAGCAGAAATTGGCAACCTTATGTGCGACTGTAGAGGAAGAGAGAGCCAGAAATGAAAGCTTGAAGAGAATCGAGGTAAACCTATTATTCCTTCATTTTCATTCTCCTTTCTTGTTTCTTTCTTCCCTGCAAAAAGTTACCTTTGCTTTAGTGTTTTTGTTTTTCTCTGTTACAAATTAAAGTATGCTGCTGTAACTAAGCTAACACTCATTATTTATTTATGTATGCTCTCACTATTTATTTATGTTTGCATTTTTGTACTTCACTGGCTGAAGTTGTGTGGCCATTCATAACTGATTGAAATGCTCATTTGACACAAGTTTCTCTGTTTGCTGAAACAATTGATTTCTTTTTGACAATCCTAATGTTTCTTTTTCATTTCTTTTCTTGATAATTGGTGTTCTAGTTCTTACAGGAATTAAAGCTTAGAATGATTAAACAGTTTGTATGTAAATGAATTACAAGAATTAGTGAACCTTGCATATAAATTTTACAATTGGCGAACCTACAATATAAACTTTACATGTGATTATGTGTTTATTAATCTCAATAATTCATGCATTCCCTTGCTATCCATGTTTGATGGTTGTCTGGTTCCTGTCTGGGGCCTCTGAACTGAAGCGTGATTGTATTCTTTTTTTCATTTAGATGTCAAGCTATACTATATATGTTGTTTTTAAATTTCCACAACATAACCTGTATATTCAAATTTTTAGTGTTGAGCTGCATGGATGGAGACAGTAGTCAAAAGAAGTACTGGATCTTTCTAACTTGTAATATTTGTTTACTTTGCATGCAATTAGGTAAGTGCATACTATTATCGGCTTTGAGTGAGAGAGAGATATCACTTATAACAGCTCTTAAATATTTTAGAAAAGTTTGATGCACAGTTCTACCTTTGTCACCTAGCCGTGGCCTCAAAATTGCACAAGTGCTTTGATGTGTTTAATTTTGTTAGTTTCTGTCCTGTTTTCTTTTCTTTGTCACATTTTCTTGACAAGTTTACAGCATGAATTGAGGTTTCCAATTTCCTTCCTAACTTTCTTTTTTTATTCCTCTTCATTTACTGATCCACAAGTGGATGTAGATGCAGATAGGTAATACACCAACAAGAATGTGACAGTGATTCTGTTTTTTCCTTGCAGCTTGATTTGCTGTCACAGCAAAGACCGAAGATATTTACAGCTTCTGATAAATCAGATGTTATTTCGATCCAGCCTCAGGAAATAAAAGTAGCCTGTGATTCCACATATTCAATGTTGCCACACAATGTTCCTTTCCAGTTACAGGAGGATGAAGGCAGGAATCCTTCCTTTACGCTACCTGACCTAAATGAACCTGTTGAAGGTGATTCAGGTTCTGGCGTTCTGAGCTGAGAAGAATCAGTTCTATACTGGTAGTTTTTCTTTTTCAATTCATCCGGCGTTTGTGCGTAATGACACATGATTCGGCACTTCCTAACAGCACCGCATGTCTGAGTTGATGTAAGTACTAAACCAATTACCTTGACCGCTTCTCGACCTGTATGCGGATATTTGCTTTTTATACATGAATGTACTGAGGGAGGTAGTGTAGAGATCCTAATCTTTAGTGTCAGTCTACATTCTTTCTTTGAGCAGATTTCTACATTCTTCCAAATTCTTTGGGGTAACTCCTCGTTCCTTCCATTCTAGGAAATAGCAACAGATAAGGTGTAATATACTATATAGATAGATAGTCACATGTTTTTCCACATGGAATTGAACTAATCTAATTAGATTTCTCCCCCTTGTTGTTTATTTTCCCAATCTTTTGCCTGTTAGAATTATTCAGGGAATACCATCTCTTTATGTCTTAAAAGTATATGTGTGTGAACTGTGATAAGAAGAGCATTATTCAATTCATCCAAAAGTATAGAGACAAGTTTGCAGTAATTGAGCCAAGTGGCTGTTAGGCACTGTCTAGTTGTTACTTGGCACAAGCAATTGATCCGTAGGAAATAATTTCTTTTTTCATTACGTAGAGAATACGATTTGGTGTGTGTGTGCAAAATCATATCTACCAAACCCTAATTTACCAATCCCAAGACAATCATTGTCAAAAGCCACCTCTTTGCTTCTATTTTAGGTCTCTTGTACCCTAAGATTCTACCACCTTATTTGACTCATGAACCTCTCTTCTTCTGTCTACTCCCTGTCAAAACCTTTAAAAAATACAAAGAAATCCCAATATCGTACTACCAAACTATACCATATCAGATTTTTTCCAAGATATCAATCACAACCTCATATCATATTATAATACTACTCAATTCTTACATGTACGTAATGCAAAACGAACTACTTGCATAACCTCAAAATTTTGGTTAACTAATTAACCATATACATCCTCTTTCAAGAAGTAAAAAAAAAGAGAAGGACTTCAATCGCGTATTAGAAAAACCTAGCTATAACTAAGGAAGTGGTATTTTTAAACTTCAATAAACTGCTCAAAAACTCGACTCTGTTTTCCTTGGGAATAGAAGAATGTTGAAGGGTGTAGCTAGGTGAAGACTCAACTTGTTGTGCCTGAAGATCAGGCCATAGAAAGGCTCCCATTGCAAACTCTCTCTTGTAGTCCAAGCCACCATTAGTAGATAACCCATATGAAGCCAGGAGAAGGTCAAGCTCTGGTTCAGGCATGTCTTCGTAATCCTCCTTGGTGTATTTTGGGTAACGGAGTGGCATCTGAAAGCTGCTACCGGTGCCATCTCCTCTAATCACCATAGGAAGCAAACTACTAATACTACCATTTTCTTTGTTTTTGTTGTTCTTCTCGTCTGCTTTTTCTTGATCTTTCTTTTGGCAGCCACAGTTTTCCTTGTGGGTTCCTTCAGGAAAAAGAACGGTGAGACCAGAGACATAGCGCCCCATGTTTTTTTTGCCCAAAAACCCTTGATTCCACCAAGAAAAAGAGAGACCCTAGACTTTTTCTGTAACACTGGCTCTGAATTAATGGAAGCAAGCCTAATGCAAGTCTGTATTTAAAGAGGAAATTTCCTTCTAGCATCAGGATTGCTAAACCGGAAATAAAGAAAACTTGTAGTTCCTTTCTGGATCAGGAATGTTACGCATAATATAGAATTAGCAGAATAATTGAAAGAAACTACGTATTTTAAAACTAATATATATAGAGAGAGTAAAATTAACTAGTTTAAATTGGAAATTTAAAATTTTAATTACTCTTCCCTTTTAATTGATGACTTTCCGCTCAATAATTAGTAGAGCTTTTGCCAATTAATATTTATAATTATTCTATATACTAGAAACTATGACACACAATTAACAAATATTCGTAAATAATAAATTACGTACCCTGTGCAATCATGATATCGAAAAAACAAATGTGATCTTCAAGAAACGCAAAAACAAATAAGAATATAGAGTTAATTCAGCATGTAAGACTTCTTTTCAATCTCCAAAAACCTAGTCGTAGTTTTTAATGGCACAAACCGTATGCATTTATAGTGGTAGAGTTAGAATGTGAGAGGGGATCGGTCCTAATAATAAAAGAATACTTATGGATTCTCCCGTCAAGGAGTCCTAATATAACAAGTCCTACGTAATAAAATAAAATATCACTCTATTTAATTAATTGAGACAAATCATAGTACATGAACTTAATGGATTTCACTTCAATCGTGGACTTTACTGGCTATTATCTCTCCAATTGAATTTTAAGCTCACGATCTATAGTATGACTGGTTGTTCACAAGAAATGTCTTGTGGGCTCCTATAGGATTCGAAATCTTGATAATAGCATGAGAAACAATTAGTATTTTCTTAAAAGAAGATAGTTTTAATCTTATTAATTTCCTATAATATAGTACTTTATACCAAATGGAGAGAGAAGGCATAGGCTTTTATAATCTCTCTCCCATATTTTTTTTGTTCTCTCTATATTAATGTTCTCCTTCTCCAACTAAATTCTTTTTATATTTTTTTCCAAAAAAAAAAAAACATATTTGACATCATTAGAAATATTATCCCAACTTAGTGTCAGTAACCATGCTATAAATTTATCATTTTTGTACAATTGTAAAAAGAGTTCTAATTATTTTGTTGTCATCAAATTGTTTTTTAATTTTAATGGTTATTGCTTTGAAAATCTATAGAGATATACTCATGATAAAGAAAAAGTTTTTTTTTTCCTATTTTGAGAAATATATATTTATATAAAACATAAAAGAAGAAAGAATACAAATATTAAGTATGATATATTTCTTTCCTTGTTTAGTATTTTTTTTTATTTTCTCTTTTACTTAAATTAATAATTAAAAAAAATGATGACGTGGATACACGATAGAGTTTAAGTGGTGTGAACTACTCTATTATAATAAATAAGATTAAAACTACCCTATTATGATAATAAAGTTTTAAAAATACTCTATTTAAAAAAAAACATATAACAAGGATGTAAATTTTATAAAATGCTAGAACAAATTGTTGAATAACACAAAAAAAATTATAAGAGAACCTTAAAATGTCGAAGTTCCTTTACTCGCCATAAGTAGTATTGAATTTTCACTGTCTTCAATTTCTTTCTTTATTTTAGAAGTGGAATATCATTTTGTATATTAAAATAATTAATAATACTTACTTTATGTGCGCGTCTATTTTAAATGGAGAGATAGACATAAAAAATAAAAATAAAAATAAAATGGAGAAAAATATTTTTTTATCTAAACTTAATATTTTATTAATTTATTTATTTTTAAGTCTATCTCTCTCTAAGTAATTTACACTATCATTTTTTGTTCCATGTGTCCTTTGATATTTGTTCTGGCTGACCAATACTCTCAAAATCTCTCGTGAAGGATCATTAATTGATTCTTAGAGCAAAGTACCACTATCCATTTTTGTTCTTTGCGTTTGTAATTACTACTTGCAACTTGTTCAGTGTTTCTTGCACAAAGCTAACCTGCCCAAATAATGTGGACATGTTATCAAAACACTGAATAGATGAAAAATAACTAACGAGGATGCAATTTACACTCTAGTAATGTTCCAAGTGCTAGCTAATTAATCTTATTACCAAATTTTTTTTTAAAAAAAAAAAAGCAAAAATTAAAAAGAAGTACCTATAATATGATGAACCAAATCCACAACACCAAGCTAACATTCTTATTATGAAGATGATCAAATATATAGGAAGCAAATGGAAGATAACAAGGGCATAAATTTTATGCATATATACCAAAACCCTACTACTCAACATGACAATCCAACCATCTTAACTTCGTCTTCTTCTTGTTTTTTTTCCTTCCAAGAAGAGCACGCTCAAGAAAGCTACGTCAAGAAGAAGGCTTCTGTTCTTGCTGACAGTTAGGCCACAGAAATGCTCCCATTGCAAACTCTCTCTTGTAAGCCAAATCATCGTGTACAGGTAGCCCATAACCAGCAAGGAGCATATCAAGTTGCCATTCAGGCATGGTTTGGTAATCTTTCATGGTGTATTTGGGGTAGTGAAGGGGCATTTGGAAGCAATTAGCGTCGTTCTTTTTCTTGCTATCCATCTCCTCCAATTTATTTCTCTTACACAATCTCTCTTTAACTTTCTAACGATTTTTAGGTTGGAGTTCTCTAATTCTTGATTTGTGGGATATAATTTCACATTATATAGACGGACTCATGGGTGTCAATTGTCATGGCCGGCTCTATTTGCATGTTAGGTTTCATGAGAATCGGCTGGCTTAACTTCTCATGAGGTGCGCTCGCTGTTTCTCTAGAGCGATAAGCGGGTGACATTGCGCAGATGGAAAGGGAGGGCAAGCCCAGGCCGTTGTCTGAAAGAAAATGAGGCCCAAAGGCTAAGAAAATGATTCTAATAGAACAAACTAACTGGGCCCAATAAATGAAGCAGAGAATAAAATAGAATGCCAATAACATGAGGCTAGAAAAATCAAAGTAGAAGCCCGCAGGATTCATGAGTAAAAGAAAGAGCAACCAATGCTAGCAACACTTCAATTGAATTGGCAAGTGGTCGGCAGGTGGATGGTTAAAAACCAAGTAAAACTTAAGTGTTCTCTAGTTTTATGGTAGAAGAGCTCTAATGGAGAGAGATTTTAAAAGAGCTGATGAATTATTGGAGATCTCCTCACAATTGATGTAATGTTGATATTTGTAGTGAAAGAAATATGGTTTGGACTATTGGACTAGCACTATGTCATTCAAAAAGGATAGTAGAATTTGAGTTATAGAAAAGAAATGGATTTAAAATGAAAGAAATCTTTTTTGACCTAATCTACTTTAAGTTGAAAAAAAATAGCAATTAGGTTTTCATTTAAGTCGTGTTTGTTTGGAGGAAAACAAATTCCGGGAACTTGTTTTTCTTATTTTACGAGTGTTTGTTTCGCGTTTAGAAAAAAAGTCAATAGAAAATATTTTTCAATCAATGAAAAATGATATAGTATTTTTGAAAAAAATGTTTTCCCGAGTTTGAAAGAGGAAAACATTTCCTTCTCACGAGTCGTTTCGCTCTCGCGTTACTTACCTCTCTTTCGATATATTTTAACAATTTTTTCTCTATCTTATTTTTATTTAAAATATATCAAATTAATTTTTAATTATTCCTTATCAATTATTATTTATTATTTAATTATTTTTTCTCTATTTCTACTAATATTTGATTTTTGGATTTATAGATACATTAAATATTCTTAAAAAATATTTTTACACCTTAAAATTATTTTTATGATAAATATTTTAATAATTTATCTTTGTTTTTTTAGTATTATCTCAAACACCACTTACACTATACTTAAATGATTGAAAATGATTATTACAAGACTATAATTTTTTTGTAAAAAATTCAAAATTAATTAATTCATTAATAAATATATTGTTTTTTTAACACCATTCATTTGCAACTAAATCAATAATTTATAATTTTAATCAGTTGTAAAATTTTGTTGGTAATTGTAGTGAATAATTAGTTACAAATTATTCTAACATTAATCTTTTGAAACCAAATGAATAATTATCTACAAATGATAACTCGATAATTTATAAAAATATTTTTAGACTAAATTATCAGTTCAATTTCTAAAAAAAAAAGAATTCCTAATTGAGTTACCAAAATAACAATGCTAGGATTGCTTAGAATTTTTTTTTTTTTTTACTAAATGTGAATATTGACTTGATTTTATCCTAAGTAATTTTGATAAATTGGTTTGATGGTTAAAAAAGTAAATTTTATTTTTTTGAATTAAAATTTTAGAGTTAGTATTAATGAAAATTTATTAAATTTTTATAAATATATCTTGTATTATAAAATTATGAATATGCCTTTTTGAAGTTTTCTTAAAACTTATTGATATAACAATCACATATTGTTTTTGTATTTTAATTTTATGTATTAAATAAATACCGTAATATATTTTTCAATAATGTTTTCATGTAATTCTCAAACGGTTGAAAATACTTATTTAGAAAACAACTTTCTAAAAGATAACTTCCTCAAGAATTGATTTTGCTCTGAAATTGTTTTTTTATCAAACAAACATAGCCTTAATAGGTCCTGCTCTGAGACTCATCAAGCAATTTTTCTACTACATCTCATAGACAAACCTGAACACTAGTCTTATTAAAATACATGTTTTTATTTTTATACGGCTCAATTCGTACTAAACGAGGCTCATTATCGATCTACTCCATTTGCTATGAATTTAAATCCATGCTAAATCAAGAAAAATAAATAAACTAATATAAAATTAATTAAATTACTTAATTATTTCTTTATAAATTAGTAATTATTCACAATTTCAAATTGAACTTTTTACTACATAAAAGGGGATAATCCTCCCCATCCTAAAATCTAGTTCATCCTTTTTGCAATTAGAATTTGAGATTTTCTAATGGAAATCTAAATTTTA